ATTTTTTTGTGTTTTCAGAGGGTTTTTTTTGCATAAAAGCAAGTCACTTTATTTCATTTCACAGCTGTTTTTTTTTTTTTTCTATAGTTAAAGGGAAATTACAATGGCTATGTGTCAAATGTTATTTTATCGTTTTAGTCTTTAGTCTGGCCATTTAAAACTGCTGTTATACATCTCTTTTTACCAATCTTTATTCAATATAGGCTTCACAAATAAGCATTTAATATACAACACAGGTTCCCAGAGACCTTATGTGCAGGGACAGAGCAGAGTGCCTTACAGCTCCTTCTGATAGAAACTTCAGAATCAGCCATCTGATTTGATGACTCACTTGGGTTCGTTAAACGGCATAACTGAAAGGTAACCATGCTATAAAGATAGCAAGAAGAAACTAGAGCTTCACCTGCTAGGGCAGCATAGAGAAGCAGGTTCATGGGACCAGCAGCGCCTCCGGCTGTCAGAATACCCTAACAATGACTGGGGTGGATTGGCTGCAGTCACTGTTTGGCCACAATTTTCCACCTGGTTCCTTCAACAACAGATGATGGAATAATTGACTTTTGTCGTGAATCACGCGGTGCCTGTCTACAGTGCCCGGTGCACATCTCCTCCTCCTTCCTGGGGAACCCTGCTGCCCGCGAGACCCTCTGGACCCCTGGCGAGACCCCGCACAGCCCTTCTGAGACCCCACACAATCTTCTGAGACCCAGTATAGCCCACCTTGGACCCCGCACAGCCCATCTGAGAGCACGCACAGTCCACCTGAGAGCCCACACAGCCCACCTGAGACCTTGCAATGCCCACCTGAGACCTTGCAAAGCCCATCTGAGAGCCAGCACAGCCCACATGAGAGCCAGCACAGCCCACATGAGACCCCACACAGCCCACCTGAGACCATGCACAGCCCTCCTGAGACCACGCACAGCCCTCCTGAGACCACGCACTGCCTCCTGAGACCCCGCACAGCCCACCTGAGACCACACACATCCCACCTGAGACCCCGCACATACCACCTGAGACACCACAGAACCCACCTGAGACCCTGCACAGCCCTCCAGAAAGGGCATACTTAATTCTAAGCCTTTCAACCACTCCCCCTACTGCATATGTCAGCTCCAGTCTCTGATCTGACCTGTACATTAATCCCTTCACATCCTGTATTCTGTCCATCTGTACACTACCCCTTAATCTCCATCCTCCCACTGTATGTGATTTGTACCTTAACCCCGTCATCTCCTCTTTTCTCTGCCTATGGCCTGTCCATTTAATGTATCTAGTGCACCATTAGCAAGCTCCATGTTTAACCCCCTCAATATGGACGTTTCTTCATTTCTAACAAAAAATGATGCCAAAAAAACAGATCACCTTGAGGTGTCTTCTTTCCAAAAAGGGGTAATTTGGGGGTTTCTGTACTGTCCTGGCATTTTTATTTGCTATGTTCTATAACAGAAAGTATTAGGTTTTCTTTTTTTAATGTTTTGGTCTTTTTTCCGAAATAGAAAAAAAAGGGGGTTATAAATACAAGCAAAAGAAAGCTCTCAAAAAATGATATACAATTTGTGTGGGTACAGTTTTGCATGGCTGAATAATTGTCAGCCAAAGTATCACAGCTGTGAAACTGAAAACTGGCTTGGACAGAAAGAGGGTATAACATGTCGGTCCTGAGGTGGTTAAACACGTTTTACATGCATTTCCATTCATCCTTATAGAGGGGGCACTATTCTAGAAACTATTCTTGTGCACAGGTTAGGCTCTTTCCCGGCTGCAGTGCGGCCCTGCACTGTCAGAATACTGTTGGCAGTAGCCTGTTATATGCTGACTTTTGGTCACAGGAGGAAACAGTAAATATACACCTGTGACCCAAAAGGCTAAAGCCAAAAAAAGGTTTGGCTTCAGTTCTCTTTTAATTGTTTGTTTTTTCTAGGGGGCTCAAATAAAGCTCTTTTACTCACTGATACTTGGTCCTGCGCCAGTCAGCACTTACCTCTTTCCCCCTCTGCTTCAGATGTTAGATGGAATGTTCCTCACATCTAATGGAAGTAAATGGACCTGCCCAAGACGTGCTGATGTCAGCAGTCCTTGGACTGCCGAGCCCGGGGGAGACGGAGCTTTGGGGACCAGTCTAGTAGTCTGGAGGAAGTCAGCAGGACTGATGATCAATTAAAGTGACACTAAACTCAGAAGTTAAATCTTTAAAATGCATTCAAGTACCCTAACTATTAACACAAATGTATCTTATTTGTGTATCACTCGGCTGTAGATCCTCAAATCATCTCTGATTTGGAGCAGACACTGTCCTTCCTTCTGCAGGGTGGCTACCTTTGTTCCCCATGGTCCCTGTATGTGTTGTAAAGTAGCCACTGCTCCAAGCTTGCTCCCGTGATGGACTACAATCCCATGCTTAGTTTACAAAGTTGTATTGAGATTGTAATCCATCACAGGATTGAGCTTGGAGTGGTGACTACTTTACAACACACACAGGGACAATGGGGAACATAGTAGCCACCCTCTAGAAAGAAGGACAGTGTCAGCACTAATTCAAAGATGATTTGAGGATCTACAGCCGAGTGATACACAAATAAGATACATTTGTGTTAATAGTTAAGGCACTTGAATGCATTTTTAAGATTGATCTCCTGAGTTTAGTATCAGTTTAAGTAAAACAACTTTAAGGGCTAGTTCACACCAGAACTGCAAGTGTGAGTTTTGCCGTGATTTTTAATTTTTTTTGGCTTAAGAGCCCAGTCACATCATCAAGAGTGTGTTCTGCCTCTGGAACGCAACCCAGCCAGCTGTGTGATTGGCGGTACCTGAACATAAGTGCCAGCGTTTCAGTCCAGTGTAATCTGCAAAAATAGTGTTTGCAGCATTTTTTGCAGATCGCACTGGACCAGAATGCAGGCACTAATGTGCCACGCGTTCAGGTGACGGCGATCGCACAGCGGGCGTGGCTGCGGTGCCATTGAGTTCAATGCGACGCCCCTCCAAAAACTGAGCCGAACAGGTTGCATTCCAGAGGCGGAACACACTCCTGTTGGTGTGACAGGGCCCTGTAATGGGATTTCAGGTGTGTTCCATTTGCATGTGTTCTTGATGCGTTCCATCGCGATCCAATGAAGCTAAAATACGGCAAGCAGTACTTTGGCTGCATTGGAAAGGACTGCTCTAGTGTGAACAGAGTGCAAGAATCCCATAGGAAAGCATTGTGATGCGTTTTTGATGCAGCTCAAAAACGGAACGGACTGCATCTCGTGTGAACTAGCGCTAATAGTGTTACCTTGACATAACAAGCACTTAACCTTTGCAGTGCGGGTGGGGGGTTGTTGTTTTTTTGCCTGCCCGGAGATTATATACTGACCTGCAGTACAATTACTAGATAATGCATATACAGACTTCTGTTTTCATGTCAGAACTTCCAAAAATGAAAGATCAGGTGAATGGGAAATAGGTTGTGCTTAGTTCCATCATCTCTGTGTTTCCTTAGAAGAAATCAGTAGATTTTTAATTGTCCATATCACAACTTGAATCAGAATTGTTATTATTCTTATCAGATTTATAATTATTCATATCAGAATTTGACATTCTTTTGACAATTCAGAACACAGATCCTGTGACCTCCTATCGCAGTATATATACATGGTCACTCATGCTGCGTGTCACTATTATGTTTCTCCGCTACAAGCAGCCGCTACTATACACGGAGGCGAGTTGTGACGCGGTCTCATCTCGTACACAGTATCCCTCATCCTACAGCCGCCGCTGCCATGGCAATGTGAAGAGGACCAACCAGCGTCCTCCAAGCCCCACCCACCCTCGCTTCTCATCACCGTTCGAACCAGCAAATGGAAAGTAGTGAGGCGGGCGGGAAAGGGCGCTCTCTTCAACCAAGCTCGGCTCAGCCGCCGAGCCTACCTTGCTAGTCGGAGCGGCGGAAAGCGGGCGTTTCATTGGCCACCCCCGTCTCCGCTCTCTTAGAAACGGCGGCAGGGCCTTTCCTTAGCAACCACATCGGCGGCGCGTCATTTCTTCGAGGGAGCCCCAACCCTCCTCCTCCTTGGAAATTGCCGGGCGGGGACAGCGGAGGGTTAAGGCGAGGCGCCGCCTCTCCGCCCCCCCCCCCCCTTCCTCTCCTCCTCCTCCTCCCGGGGCCCGATACACGAGGAGGAGGAGCCTGCCTCCATTATTTATATTTTGTCTCCCTTTTTATTTCCTCCCCTCCTTCAAAGTCTGACACGTCCGCAGTGAGTGAGGGGCGTTGGCAGCCTGTCAATCCGTCACCGGGGCCGGCAGCAGCAAAAGCGGGGCAGCAGCCGTAGCCATAAATCCCCCCCCGCCCGGGAGCCCCGGCACCGGCCCCCCATCCATCTCTCCCTCTTCTCCCCCTCAGCCGCTGCCGAGGAGAAAACTTTTTTTGATTGCTGCTCAGAGGCATCATCATCATCATCATCTCACCGGGCACCTTAACCATTTCTATCGCCCCACTAGCTCTTCTTAATACTCTCATTAATACTCTCTGCTACTCTCACCCCACCCGTGGACACAAGTTTTTTTCCCCAGACTTGTTTTATAGATTTGTTCCCCTTTCTTTTAATCTCCTATTTATTTTATTGGAGCTGATCTGCGTTGGAGCACTGATTTATTTGTTTCTCTTTGAAAGGAGAAGACGAGATTGGCAGCTCCTGGATGGAGAGGACGAGGATGATGATGATGATGAAGTAGAAGAACCTGCTCTTTAAAAAAAAGGAGAAAATAAAGCATCAGAGACTGAGAAGCCCGGAGATGCCTTCTTACTTTTTCCCGATCTGATCTAATTGTAACAAGGGGGAAATCATTTTGCTACAGTGTCACTTTTCGTCAGAACTTTTGTTCTTTTTGGATAAAATCACTCATCAATAAACTTGATTTTTTTGTTTATGCTGCACTCAACTGATCGAGAACTGTCCTAGAAGAAAGTGCTGGTGCACAAGTTGTCTGGGGGGTTTTCCGAGGAGGCTTCCTGCAATGGAATAATAGAATCCTGAAGATGACAGCTCAGCCTGATGACATCTGACACTATGTGCAAAGGCAACCGCATGGCTTTTTGTTGATCGTGTCCTGATGGGATGAATTGGAACTGGCCTTTGTGTATCTGAAAACTACACCCAGGACTGCTTAGCTTTACATGACCCTCCACCCCCTCCAAAATCGTTTCTATACCTGTATGTGGTGGAATTAAAACTCTGCAGAAAGACAATTTTTGTAGTAAAAGCAGCAGCAACTGGGATCCTGTCTTGTGTTACTTTTTTTTTGTGTTTTGTATTTTGGATGATTTGAATTGATGGAGTAAAGGACTGCTCTGCTCATTGATTGCAAGCCAGCATAGCAAAAGGGAGACTAGAGGTGTGAGGCTGGAATCGGACGGTTGCCATTGTTGATGTGTGAGGCCGTCACCCCCAAGCGGTACTGTCCCTGACTGTGAGGTCTTCCTTACAGTTGGTTTACGATTGATTGGGCTGCGGAGATCAGTATGGACGAACAGACCAGGATGATGCAGACTTTGGCCGGAATGAATGTGGCCAGTCACTCTGTACAGGGCATGACATTGCCTCCTCCCCATGGACACGATGGGACTGACGGGGACGGCAGAAAGCAGGACATCGGGGACATCCTGCATCAGATCATGACCATCACTGATCAGAGCCTGGATGAGGCACAAGCAAAGTTGGTTTTCAGCGCAAATAAAAAAAAGCACACACACATAGCATCACACTTTCCCTCCCCACACATCACAGCAGCTCATCACTCCTGTACATCCTGGAGTGAACAGCTTCTCAATGCAGGCAGTTTGTCAAATAAGCCAACACATGTTTGGGTAGCAGAGGCTGCGATGATGCTGGAGGCTCCTTCTAGCACGGGGATGACATGATGCTTTCACTGATATCAACAAACCTCTCAGCATTAGCCTTGTGCAGATTTACTCCCTGGGTATCTTCACATGCAGCTTTCAGGACTTCTCTAGCCAAGTCTTGATCTGCTTCAAGACTAGAAACCTGCCCTATGTAGGGAAAGCGATCATTATAAATACATTGAGCACGGAAGGGACCACACAGGTCCATTTGCACTCATTTATTGGTCCATATATTGTCAAAGTGATGCCCATAAATGCGGCTGCACAGATCACTGGAGGCTGCTCTTGAGACAGGGGAGACCCTTTATCTGGTACAAGTCCCTATATAGACTATTATTTATAGTTCAGACGTTCAGGATCACTCAGCTCCCTTCCAAGTAGCTATAATATGTGATGCAAAAGGAGAGAGCAAACTCCCCCTATAAACTCAGAGTTGGCCAATAAATGTATAATTTTCTACCCAACCATTTGTTGTTTTATTCCTGACAACTTGTTTGCATGATTTGTAAAACAGCAGGCGCGCTTTAGTGGTCTTTGTAAAAGAAAAGCGTGCACAGATTTTGAGCTGCCTTTGTTTATGTGGCTGTGCCCGTTTTTATTATCTAACATTAACAAATCCATCTGCCATACGTTTTGTGAACACTTCCCTAATACTTTGAAAAGAGTCACCTTTTCTTTTTTGTTTTTCTTTCTTTATGTTGTATGAATGTTTGTAGGAGCTTTTTAGAAGATGTAACTGCAGGAACCACAATAAAAAAAAATCTGTGTGGGAAAATCTATTGCTGTGTAAAAGTTGGCCCCTTTTAATAAATCAGTTTTGATGTGGATTGAAGCAGTTTATTGCAGACAAGTGTTGATTTATATTTGCTATAATAGCAGGCTAATCTGACATGTGCGTAAACATTACAAATTGTAAAACCCTTTATAGAGAAAGCTCAACTTCAAGCTTCTCTCTCATTTTTTTTCCTTTTCAGTTTGGGCTTGAGCTGTAATCTCTCCAAACTGAAACAAGTTGATGCCAATTAATTAACTTCCCATTGGCCAATAGATCAAATCTTTTTTTCGATGGATAGCATTAATAATTACTATATGTGTTATAGTTTTAGAGTGCTGTAGTGCTTAATCACATAGGTGTCCATTTCCCCAGTGATTCCTTATATTGATTGTTTTAAAGGTGTGCAGTGCATTCCTTTAATTCATGCTTTCCATTGTGCATCGTATGAAATTATATTGGACAGTTCTATGTAGTTTAAACGACTGTTATAAATTGCTTTATGGTAATGCTGTTATTGTAAATCATTTTTTTCCAGAAAGCATGCACTTAACTGCCATAGGATGAAGCCAGCGCTCTTCAGTGTTCTATGTGAAATCAAAGAAAAAACAGGTAGGAGTCTTAACCTTTCTGTCACATAAACCCTGAACCATGAATTGCATTACACCCTGCGTGTCCACGCTAAACATGGACCGGTCTTTGCAGCTGAGTGACGCCATCTTTGTTTCCTTAACATCCTATGTACACGAACCGGTGCAAAAACCCTTATTGATCATTTGTTTGCATTCAGTTGGTGTGTTGTATGTACTGGATGAGGAAGGGGTCACAGATCACCACCACAAGCACATTCCCCTCAGGCAGCTTTGAGAGTGTATATTATCATTTACCCCTTGATTATTGGGAAGAACAGCTGGGTAGCAGCTTTGTGATTTCATTAGGTTAAATAGGAATGTAGTACTTGCTAAGTTGGTATTGTATCTGGAGATAAAAAAAAATTTGTATGAGTGTTATGGTCCTAAATAGCAAGCATTGCTAACCTCTATGTCTACTGAGGCTGTAGGAGGCAAACAGGGACACGTATTTCCACTGAGACATGTAGACCATCACCAGAGCTATTTTTTCTTCTCTGAAATCTGCTCAGACCCCCATCGCAAGATCAATACTGAAATCTTGACACCAAATCAAATCATTAATTAACTGTGAAATTCACCGTTAAACATATCTGCATTTTGACTGAGCAGTAATGCATTACCTAAGTCAGGTCTATAATTCTAGAGAGAATACAAAAAAAGATGGGTTTTGCAATGGGTCTTTCATTTTGTATTATTGTCATTAGGGTATGTTTTATTCCAGTTAAATGATGGCTTTATATTGCCACAAGATAGAATACTTTTGTAGGTTAATACTAACATTCTTGTTAAGCTGTATGTTACAGTATGTATGATACAATTGTCAGTTAAAACTGAGCCCTTCATATTTTTTCTTAAATACTTCAATAAATATATATTTTTGTTTGTATTTAACATTGAAGAGTGACAAATTAATATTTACCCAATGCATTGTCTTTGTCTGCTGTACATTGCATTGTTTAAATCTAATGTATCTAATGCAAGGTGTTATTTATAAAGTTCAGCGTGCATCCCTTTATATGAAATGCATACTTTTTTGCAATTACATTATGGGCAGTTTAACAAAACATTATGGGGTAATACTCTCACTATAGTTGGCCTAAGCTTTTACATAGTTGCATAGTCTTTAGGAAAGGGTGGCACAAATGCCCCGGACAGCTGTGGAGAAGAATAATGGGAATTCTAGAAATTTGCTTTGTTGGATTTATTTATTTCATAAAAAGTGATCATTAAATAATCCAGGGACTTCAAGGGTGTCAAATCACTGGAACCTATTAAGGGTGTCAGTTTCAGTGTTGAGCTTGTCACTGATACATTGTAGCGAATCAAATGACTACAATATATATATTAATTGCTGGCACACCTAATCAATCACCGTCAATTTCTGTGTGCAGAGAGGGTTTTTTTGAAACCCCCAAATCTATCTCTCTAATTGCTGCTTTCTGCTGGAATAATACACGTTGACCTGATCTTCCAAACACTTCTACTGTTTACAATAAAGCACGAGTTTGTTTAATAATTCAGAGGTTCCTTTGATGCTCACACCACATTCTTTATGATTAAACCATTTTCATTTAATAACTTGGATTTCTGTAATATACTGCCCATGTTTAAAAAGAAATTACTTCTAGTAGAAAAACATATTTGAGCTGCAAACGTCCCATCGCACCATTCCTGCAATATAGTGAAATTTGCACATTTTCCTGTCATATGTATAGACATTGTAAGAGAAATTAATTATAATAAGTTGTGCTTTCTTTCGCATTGACAGCACCGCGTGATAGTTTTTAGATCTCCCCCAATTGATGGTTACATTTAATATGTTATTTTGGAAGCAATATCAATGTTAAAGCTTTTGATATACAATGCAAAGCTTCTAAGCATATGTTGCCACTTACAGCAGAAATGATCATTTAAATAATAGCAGGCTTATTCAATGAACCTAATCAGAGCGGTTAGTACTGTAAATAAGGTATCAAATCCCAGATCTTCCTCGATTAGACAGGGTGAAACTGTTGTCATGGATGAAATAGCTGATGGGTACAGTTGTCCCATGTTGTCCTAGCTTCTGAAAGTGACAGTAAATTTAACAAAAGGAAAAATTTAAATAGGAGAAAGACATGCCTATTACATTATGAATGAGCATGAGATTGTGTAAATGGTCTTCTTAGCACACAAAGAATGGACAGCGGCTAGGCATGACATTAGTAAATAGAGCAGCAATACAGAACTGTTGTATGATCCTTTTTGCATCATCATTTTGCTATGATGTAAAATCAAGTTTGATCCACTGAGCAGAAGTACAAATAGATTACGCTGGTGTAATTCACACATTGCGATACTGTCCTACTGTCTAGAGATTGTGAATTAACAGTGGAAGCAGCTGATCCTGTGGTTATAAACAATGCTCAATTTCAGGTGTTTGATTTTATTCTTCTCGGCTGTTTAATGTCACAAAGGGTAGCCAGCTTGTGTGGTAGTACTAGCAGAAACTTTACCTTATTAGCTATTGAAAATGAACAGGGTCCTAACATTTGTTTCTGCTGCCCATATTACTGTTTTTAAACAGTAATGATACACTGTGAAGCTATCAAAATCCTAGATCAGAGAATTACGTTGTTTTATTCCCACTTCACTATAAGGTTTTATTATGTTTGTTTATTTTAATTATCACATCAGCCAGCAGGTATTGAATAAGCAGGCAGATAACAAGTACGTTGGTCTTGCTGCTACATTTATCCTCTGCATTTTTCGCAGGCTCAGAGATGCAGTTCTCTTTTCTTTCCTTATTGCCTAAAATTACCCAGTAGTTATCAAGCCTTATTTATGTTTGTGCTTTGCTAACGGTAACCACAAGGTAGCAGGCTTTTGCATTTTTTTTTACCCTGTAATTTTTATTTTTGCCTAAAATATTGCCTTGTAGAATCACAGTGTTTTAGAATTGCTTTTTTTTTTTTTTTGGGGGGTTTTGTGAGTTAACCTGCCCAGAATCCCGTACCTGTTTATTTGTTTGTTTTTTGATTCATTTTTTGCCTAGGAGATTACGCCTTCTCGAACAGTGTTTGTTGCATGTAGATGAGAAATGACCTTTTTTTGAATTAAATAAACAGGCGGTGGATTTCTCAGCTTGCCATAGGCATAAAAATCGATGCACGTGAACATATGATTGCGTATGGATGTAGTTTTTTTCCCATTCTTTTGTCAACAAGCCTGAGCCTTAATGTAAGTTTTTATCCCCAAGTGGATACACACTGGCAAAGCCTAAGATTGCTTCATTAGTATTTTTGATCTGAGAAAATTAGAAATATTTGTTAGTTTGTCATATAAGCTGTCTACAGCGTCATCAGTCTTTGAAAACACTGGATTTTCTTGTTGAAAATCACTTTTTTACACCCATTAGTACTGTCAGCGTGGAAATTATGGATGGATTTCCAAACAGTTTGTGCATTTAGGTAACACCTTTAGTCTGTACGTTTGGGATATTTAAAGATCATGTATCAACTAAGAAGAAATCAGATTACTGGCACTATGTCTGTATCCTTTCAGAGCCGTCCAATAAAATCTAATGTTTTCATTTTTGATTTTCTGAATGCAGGACTTTGCAGCTGAAAAGGTACATTGACAGCTGCCAGCCACCCATAAATATAGTCAGTGCAAGCAAAGAGCTTGAATGGCATTCATTTAGTAGTAATGTCTAATGGCATACGTGATGGTCTGCCAGATTTGTGGCCTTCTACGAGTCTTATAAGCAGGACAGACTTGGGAAGATCATAAAATGTAATGAACTTCTCCACTGAGCGAGGTGTCCGTAGGGGAAGCTAGAAGGACCGTCTCGGGCTACTTGAAGGATTTTTATATGCCTAAAGAGAGTCAGTATAAACGCTCACTGAACATTTTTGACCCAGAAAACAAGATGTGAGTGGCCAGTTGGGGAACGTTAACCCTTTTGCAGCCAGATAGAGCTGCAAGGCATTTCAATATGATGTGATTAATAATAATGTGCTTCTAGGAGATTAATACTACTATATTATGCAGTTCAAAAAAAATAGCAAAAAAATCAGAAAGCTGTATTAAATAACTAATTCATGGAAATAACCCCTTCAGCATGTTCAGATGTTGATAAAGGAAATCGGCTTTGTTCAGTCAGGTAGTAGGAGTAAGACTTGTTGTATACAAAGGCAATATAAATAGTGCAAACAGTAATGCTGCAGCAACAACTTGTAGTGCCGCAACTGCGTGTTATGCTCAAAAAGGGGCTGTCGCTTTTTTCTTTTACTTCTAGCCCATTCTCCATCCTGAGGGAGCATGAAATTATCTATAGTTAAAGAACAAGAATGTGTCACGTTACATGCTTGCAAAGAAAAAAAATCTGCAATATTAATTTCCCAGCTTGACATAACCTTTAGAAAGTGCTGATTCAAAGTGATCAGACATACCTTTTCTCAGGGAAAAATGTGTACTCTTTGAATGGTGATAGACCATCCCAGATAAAGAGTATATTTCCTCTTTTGTCTTTTCTACCACATCTACGTGCATCACTTGCGCTCCCTTTTGAAAGTAAGAGTAAATATTTCAGCTACTAAATTCTTTTATATTATGTATGCAACCATCATATAAAAAAGGGAGAATAATTAAATAAAAAGATAATTCCTGACTTTGTTTCAGACGGGTTTTTG